GCGCATCTACTCACCTCCTCTTTTATGCCTTTGGACCGCAGATCAGGTTCTCACACTCGCATAGGCGTGAAAAAGAGCAATCCTACTGGTCCCACTTCCCCATATCAACATCTCTATTCTCAACCTCTCATGACAGCATGCCACATAACCACAAATAATTGAGCAACCCTGGGGCCCGCATTGGGTGCCATCCTTCCCATGTTTGGAGCTTGGGACTCACCATCATATGGATCCCGAAAAATCATTTTGGCCTTCTAAAGTTGTGTTTGGTTGTGTAAATATCTCCTCTACGGAGACATGTGACTGTTTGGTTTACTGGCGACGGTTCCCGTTTACAATATATGGTGGACAGTGACTGTTCATTCCTTAATATATTATTTACAAGTAAAACTTGTGGGTGGGACCATCTACTCCATCCAGAGTGGGATTATAGTCTAATTTGCTTATTTTTATTTTATTTTAAATTATTTTTAATAATTTATTATTTTTGAAGATAATAGTTATGATATTTTTTAATATTGAACCATTTTCATTATTTTTTGTTAATAAAAAATATTTGAAGATAAAAAGTAATTGTTTGTAAATTGCTTTTATTGACTTTTATTAATAAAATGATTTTTTTATTATTAGACAAATTCATATTCTACACATTTTGTCCTCTAATATTTGATATTTATTTTGTCACATTCAATAACCATATTTTGGTGTTTTATTTTATTTATTATTATTTTTAATTAATTTTGGGCTTAAAATATAAGATATTTTCATTCACAATCGACTTTGTAGATTATCTTGCAAGTTGTAAGTTAAATGTATGAAATCAACAAGTGTGGAGTGGACTAAATTTAGACAATTTTAGTCCATAGTTCAAAACAACTTCGAACACCATTGTGGTTTATATTGGTCTCTACCACAATGGTATGTTTTGTATCAGTTCATACCCACTAATTTCTCATCCATGCAAGGTTCAAAATATCGCAATGTGGGTTGTATCAACCGAAACGTATTGTTTCGACAAGAACACGATACATAGAATGTGTATAAATCATTTGTTCCATTTCTTTTCGTATGTATTGGCAAACACGACCTGTATTGAGCTGTTTTGGATCTATATTGGTCAATATGAGTTCAAAATACATATCATTAATTTCATTAATCCATATTTAATATTGGATCCCTCATTAGTGTTGTTAATTTAAGTCTAATTTCTCTTTCATTAATTAGTCAATTACTCTAAAGCAAATTTGAATTTTAGCACCTAATTTAAATTAATGACCCCCTCTCATTAATTTCGGTTTGTTAGTGTAAAAACTTCAAATTTTAGCAATAGTAAGATTTGAACCTTGGTCATTCTATTTTAATAAACACAAGTTTGCCAATGAGCCACACGTATTTGTTTGATATGGTTATATGTATTTTTCATTTTAAATTAATTGTCAGTTTTCTTAATGAGTGACAAGTGTTTATTAATAAATGTTAGAATTAATTATTAAAATTTATATACTAATAAATATTAAGATTAATTATATTGGTTTTTGAAAATTGACATTCACATTTTTGTTTTTTGTTTATTTTACATTTTAGTTATTCCATTTTTAAACGGTTACTAATTGTCCTAATATGTCACACTTTATATAAACTATTAAATTATAGTTTTTTACATATAAATGACTTATTTACAATCAAATACAATTTGTAAATATAGTTAATAATATATTTTTTAGGATTTATTTGAATTTTTTACCATATTTATTTGTATTTTGATTTATCATCCGTATCCATATATATCTAAAACGTATCCCGATACGTCTCTTAAAATTGTCTTTTCAATACACCTTCCATTTTTGATACTTTAAACCTTGCATCCATGTAATACAAAACATCCTTTAATTAGACCCTGAATAAACACTTTTATAAATAATAATGCCCAAATTAGATGGTTAGGGACTGATTATATTAATTTAATACAAAACAATAATTTTACGTCACGATTAGTAAAAATTGTGACAAGTGGCAAGTTATAGGCCCCATTTACCTGCCTACGAGATTAATTAAGCATATTATGTTTATTAGTTAACATTGATGCTTAATTTCAATATTTGATACCAAGTGAGAAGCCAAGCAAGCATATGGTATTATGGTATTGGCAATACTGTTGTAACTATAGCTTTAAGAATTGTTACTTGGGCTGCATTTGGAAACAATGCAAATATGTAAGGTGTAAAAAGGTTTATATAAATTATAAAATTGGGTTGTTTTGCATTGACAAATTTACCTTCTTATCAAACATACTTTTAACTGTAATGGATGCAAATATGAATTCCAATAAAGTATATGCTTTTTTAATCAAATGCCTACTTGAATGCAAATTTACTTCTGTTTTATTGATGTACTTTTACATCTTATTATCAATATAAATATGTATTGGTCTTTCATTTGTTAATGCATAAACGTAATGTTACCAAATACAGGCAAAAATGAACTAGAATGTAAATTTACCCTAAATCAGGACTTACACTCCATTTGCATGCAGCCTTAGTACTCGAAAATCGATGTCCATGATCACTCGAATTCAAATCCCCACCCTCAAGGTCTGATCATTCAATAGTGGTAGCAGCAGCAATTCAAAATCAACATACAACTTTTTGGCTGTGAACGGTGATGGAAGTGGACTGAATGAGAATTATTATTGTTATTATTATTTTTATCCATGTGGCCGATCCACGGTATAATGATGGAGGATTAATTTTGTATGTTATGTTGTACTATAAAGTATAAACATACATGCTCCTTGCATTTATTTTTGTGCATGCTTTTCCAGTTTTCTTCTAATATCAATCAAGGCTTCAAAGTTCAAGCAACTAAACTATGTTCTTCAGTTCTTGCTCATTTATCGTTTCTTATCCACACGTATACCTACATTAATTAAATTTATCTTTTGGCTCGGGAACAGATATTAATGTCGATCGGCCTTGACAAAAATTTTTTTAGAGACATCATCTATGGTCCACCTGAATTTACAAATCCTAAAGCATTCATTTCATTTATTGGGAATGACTAAGTTAAATGTTGAATCGCTTGTAATTTTTCCACGAGTAGGCGTGTCAATTGGATTGGATTCGTCCAATGTAAATTTATTATAAATGAATTAGATTTAATTTAATCTAATATATATTTTGGACCATTTTGAACTGGTCTAATTCAATGTTTAGACAGTTTAATATGTTCAAATTCGTTTAAATTTAGATTGATTTCAATATAAATCTGGCCTATTAACGACATTCTTATCTTCTATCAATGGGTTAGATATTGGTTCAATCTAATCCAATCTATTATAAATTTATCAAAAATAGACCAGGTTCAATCCAATAAATACTTTGGGCCATTAAGTTTGGACTGGTCCAATTTAATGTCTTGTTGGTTTATCCAGTCCGTTCAAATTGATTTTAGTTTGGATCGGGTCTAATCCAAAATCGATCCATTGACACACCCTATCCACGACTCACTTTGAGTTTGGTTTATATGGTGTAGCCCAGTTCATTCGATAAGCTTAGGGTGTTTGGCTGTTTGCCTAAAGACAAAAAAAAAGAGAAGAAAGTAAGAAATATTGTCTTAATTTGGGGCCTCATATGAGCTGTTTATTGGGTTCGGGGAGCTTCAGTTTCTGGAGACTTTGTTTTATGTTCCCAAGAACATGAACCAACCGCTGGAAGGGAGCGTGCAATCATAGAATCTTGTCTCTCCAATCAATCCGATTGGCTCTTTTTTCCATCTGATTTTTACACATATCTGATTGCACTTTCAGTTTTGGTAAATCTTCTTCTGTACCATCCAATAATGTCAGTCGAGGTAATTTACTAACCAATAAATTGGACTATTGAATTTGAGCTGGTGCCCATAGAATTGGAAAAATCATGGGCTTCCGAACTTTTAATTTGATCATAATCATCATCACTTGAAGTCTTATTTCAACTATATGAGATTTAGTTACATGAATTATGTTTTATCTATATGAGAGATGTTTCTAGTATACGGTAGGATGTAGTCAAGGTTGTTAAAACCTGACTGGACAGAGAGCCATTGTGGGGACTAGTTCCTATATTGAATGCTCCTACCATTTGGTTCAAAGGATGGCCCATTTTAAATTAAAAATAAAAAACTGCCAAAAATTAGAGTTCACATCTGCAGTTCACAAGGGGGCGCCCCACAGCACACCCCAACCTCCCCATGATAATACAGGATATGATCAGACATTATCAGGAGATGTTCCCAATATAAGGTCGGAATGTATTGGAGGATTTAACCATTTAAGTAATGGATCACCAACCAAATCAATGATTTTTAACTAAAAAAATAGTTTTAGAATGAAACTGAACATTTCAATTTTTCTGGTCCGATCGACCGGTCCGGTTTTCAAAACTATGAATGTGTCTGTGAAGTCGTGTGAGGATCGCTCTCTGAGGAGCAGATCCCAATTCAGCACTCAGCAGTGGACAAACACAAGAGCTTTCGTGTAGAGAGGGGGATATGATATGATATGATATTGGCTCTAGTAGTGATTTAGTAAAATGGGGTAGCGCTGAGCCATTATCAGTGTGGTATTATCTATTGGAAGTTTGGAACCACCACGTCAGCACGTTAGCATAAAGCTTTTGAGGGTGTCATACTCCGTCGACTTCCAATTAAAGCCCAGAACCTAGAGTAACCGGTAAAGCCCATTTTATCAGCAGTGGACTCGTGGAGGCCCTAGAATCAATTATCAGACTCTATTATTTTTCAAATTCAAAAGGCAAAATCTTTGCTTTTTCAAAGCCTAAGCGTGGAAATCAAGGAAAGGAAACAACACCACACCGCACACTCTCTCTCCCTCAGTCACTCACTCTCTCTATCCGTCTCTCTCTTTGATTGACAGCTTTTCACACTCGCAAGGAACAAGAAAATAAACTATTATCAATTTCTCTCTATAAAATAATTGAATATAATAATAAGGACACAAAATGTCTTTCACACACGGTGGCGGGCAAAATCGCCGGCAAATCGGCTTAACTCACGGCTATAAATAAATTATAAAAAAGAGAGAGAGAGAGAGAAGAGAAGAAGCATCCACTCTTATCTTTTTATGGACCGTATTGCCCCTCAAGATAAAAACGGCTTCAGGGTATCTTCGTAGTTTGGTGCGAAAATCTGGAATCTGGTCCTTTCTTCATGGTTCTAATTCAGCATCTGATTAGTTCCGAGGGGAAATCTTCCACGTCAAAGTCGCCGAACTCTTCCTCCCCAAAGTACTTTTTTGGAAAATTGGCTTCCGTCAGGGTTAACGGCAAGTCGTCGATGTTGAATCCAAATGCGTCGACATCTCCGAAACCGAAGCTGTCGAACGCTGCCGTTAGGCCATCGTAACAGAGCACCGAAGTAGGAGACCTAGCTGCCGCAACCGCAGCCGCGGCCTTGGTTAAGTCGTCGTCGCCCTTGGCGACCGTTTCTGTTCCAGGGAAAGCCGGGAAATTTGTAACGGCGTCCGGACCCTTTAATCTAACGGCAGCCTTATCGTAAACGGTCGCCGCTTCCTCCGCCGTGTCATATGTACCGAGCCACAACCGTTTCCGCCGTGTAGGATCCCGTATCTCCGCGGCCCAACGTCCCCACGGTCGTCGCCGTACGCCTCTGAATCTTTTCGAGCAAGTTCCATCAGATTCGGGTTCCGGCGACCTCCTTTTCTTAACTGACACCTCACGGCGCACGTTAGTGTGCACGTTGTCGAAAAATATCTCTCGAACGTGTCTCTTCACACGCCGCACGGTCTCGTTGCCCCCCTCGTCGTCGCTTGAGTCCGTAGCATCAACGTCAGTGAAGATAATCCTCACTACCTTCTGCCGTATAGAATCGCATGAACCAGTTGATTTTCCGGCGGCTTTCCGGCCTTGAACTAGTTTCGTTGTTCTGACAACATGCTCTGAAAATTTCAGTGACTGAGTTACAAAGACGCCGGATTCTAAGTCCGAGCGGCAGGTCGGATTCATCACACAAGATGGTGAATCGACTGTAGTAGAACCAGGTTCGCACGCCGCATCAAAACAATCAGGAGAAAGCGAGCATGTAATAGCAACTCCGACAGGTATGAGATAAGAAAGCGGAGCCAATGGACTGACTAGCAAAGTAGCAAGCTCTCCTACCTAATGGAATATTTTAAGCAAAATAAAATATACACTGGATTCCAGTAAAAGAATTTCAGACAAGGTTCCTATTTACTGAAAGGATCAGAAAATGAGTAAAGAAAGAAGATGGAATAGGTCTTTTTCAGTGGAAATCACTTAATAGGAGAGCTAGAATTGATGGGATCCGACTATCAGAAGAAATTTGAAAACAATAAGAGAAGAAGGTAGAGACTATGAAAAATCCTTCCTCTAACGGAAAGAAAAAGAGACTACTTTATCTGCTAAAGAAGAATGTTCGAGTCGTGAAACTTCTTAGAGACTGTGGAATACCAAAAGCTTAAACTTCGAACAAGTTGGTTCCCTCCTCACTCCTCACCCCTGTTTTACCAGAAAAGCTAAGCAGTGCTGTTTGCTGAAGCTGCAAAAACTTTAACGCAAAAGGTATCTTATTTTTTTCTCCTCTCTTTTGGCGGGAGAGGGATAATGTCAGGCGATAAGCTGGGTGTTGGAGAGGAAACAGGGAGAGAAGAGAAATCAGAGCGCCAGTAACCGAAAAATAGAGTGAAAGAGCGAGTATTTATAGGAAATAGATTTAAAATCCCAACCTCCGTCAATTCGCTCCGACGTTTATTATCAGAGTAGAAAACGGAAAATCCCGATTCCAGCTGGCCGGCCTAAACGTGTCAATGGAGTCGACCAGTCGGGGGGAAGTTGACTTCTAATTACGAAAGTAACCCTTTTCATTTGACCTGAATTTCTACGTCCAACCGAACTCCCTATGATTTATTGGTTTTATTTGTTAATTACTCTTGTTGTTGGTGATTAGGTACAGATAAAATCGCACTTTACTTTGGTTCAAAACACTTACTATTACATTTACAAAAATACCCTCATGATGTTGGAACTGTCGCTACATCTGAATAATCAAGCTTGATTTTGATTGTCCACCAAACAACACGTTGCTGGTTTCTTTACTTCGGGGTTTTTGTGGATTGATGTTTGGCAGTGACAAACTGGCTGAGAAACTACATTGGATAGTACGACAGGCTATGACACTTTGGCAATTTGGTATTGGAAAGGGTTTCTAGGAGATAAGGGCAATTTTTTGCTCTAATTATCAATAAAATATAATATTTTTATAAAATAATTAAAATATGATAGTTTTTTTGGAAAAATATCAACAAAGGGCGGGGCAGTGGATACTATTCCTGGTCTTCTTCGTCTGCCTCTATATTCATGCCAATATATCCGATTCGAAGACCACGGTGAGGCTTGGGCGGAACGTTGTGACGGACAAGAGAAGGTTTTTGTGGGAGCAAATGGAGGAACAATGAAACCAGTGAATCCAGCAAATCCCGTTTTGCGCATTGACATGGGCGAACAAGATAAGAGGAATGAAAGGAATGGGCGGACAAGGGAAGAAAGAGCATTGAAAGGAACAATGGATTCATAAGGAAAAATCATAGAATATATGGAGACTTATACACGACTGCCCATTCGCTTTCTGGGAGGAATTAGTGGGGTTTGGACGCAAACTTTAGAGACTACCAAGCTCCAAACACCGACCAATGAATTCTCAGATTTTCCATGGCCATTTACCATAAAAGAAGAATTTGACCTTCTTTTATGCTCGAGAGTTTGACCTTCTTGATTTGTATGCTTCAAACAACAACAACAGCAATCAGATAATGGAATATCTTGATTTGTATGCTCGAGAGTTTGACCTTCTAAGTCATCGGCATCGACTAGGAAAGTGCTTCTAACGATGAGATTCTCTCACAGAGTTGCCCTTATATTATTTTTCCAAAAAGACTATTTATAAAAATATTATTTTTAATTGATACTCTGAGCAAAAAGTTGCCCACCTTATATCCTAGAAAACCGTAACCATATTGTTATTACAACGTCCAAAACAGTCATTGATATATTATATAAATATATTTAGCGAGAAAATGTATCAGATCATGTCAGCCCAATATTTATCGTACAATGGTATTTAGGTCTGATCAAGGTTTTAAAAATCGGATCGGATATGAAATCGTTTTTAGCCACCGGTTCTTAAGTCAATCTGATCTGGTTCGATTTTCAAAACCTTGGGTCTGACATGATTTAGAGGATAGACTGATTGCCTGACTGGTTTTGGGGTCAACCTGTCCGATCAACTGATCCGTCCGATTTTCAAAACCTTGGACCTGACCTGATTTAGGGGATAGACGGACCTTAAATCAATAAAGGCGGATACGTTGATCCATTTTTAGAACCTTGGATAAGCTGAATGTATCAGACTGAACTGCAACGGTAGAAGAACGGCTTTGATTTCACGCTATAGAGGGTCCAACGGAAAAACGTTTACTATTCCTATTTCTTTCTTCTTCTTTTTTTTTTTCAATTATTTTACCTCTCCTTATAGTTTCTTCTCATCACTTTCGGTCCACTTGGGTTGAAGTAGAAGTACCAAAGCCAAAAGCTTTCTTCAATCAGAATTCAAACAGACAATACAGTTTCAGTTCACTAGGGGTCGACTGAATGGTACTGACCAGTCTACCACTTCATCTCAATGCCGATTCCGGTTTCATACAACGTCTTTTACAAGGTTCAGAGCATCCATCTAGTTCTTACCTGGAGGCTGGACCACGAGTTCAACAATTCAAATCCGAGTTGGCGAATTGCAAACAAAGGGGTATGACGATTCTGAATTACTATGGCAAACTCAAGATGATTTGGGAAATTATGAGCAATATCCCACTTGTCAATGTGGTAAGTGCAACTGCGACATAAGCAAGGCATGGGATAAGAAGCGAGATGAAGAGAAACTTCATCAATTTTTGATGGGGCTAGATGACACGGTCTATGGAGGTGTGTGTTTGCATATACTAAGTATAGAACCTTTGCCAAGCTTGAATCGAGCCTATGCCATAGTGATTCAGGAAGAGCAAGTTCAAATCCTGACCCGTGCAAAGGAAGAGAAGACTGAATCTGTGGCCTTCACAGTTCAAGCAGGGAAGAGGCAAAGTGAAGGCAAAGACAAGAACGTGGTATGTACTCACTACAACAAGGCAGGCCACAATGCGGAGTCTTGTTTCCAACTGATCGGCTACCCTGAATGGTGGGGTGGTCGGCCGAAAAATAATGCTCGTGGAGCAGGCCGTGGCCGTAGTGGACAGAAACAAGGAGCAGGGGCAGAAGGAAAAGGTCTTGGCAGCCAAGTCAAGGCCAATATATCCAAAGTCTTTGCGCAAGGCAATGCGTCTCAAGGAGAATCAATTTATGCAGTCAAGACTGGGTTAAATGGACTAAGTAGTGAGCAATGGAACATGTTACTCAACTTTTTGAACACATAGAAAGAGATGAGTCAACGACTAAGTGGTAAGCAAAAATTGTCAAAATAGATAATAGACACAAGGGCTTCTCATCATATGGCAAGAAGCCTCGAGTTAATGAGAGACATAAAAGATGTCATTCCATGCTTTGTCAGGATGCTAGATGGGAAAGCGGCAATAGCAGAGAAAGAAGGCACAGTTGCGCTAGACGATCATCTGAAGCTGACTAATGTTTTATATGTGCCTAGTTTGAATTGCAATTTAATTTCTGTGTCACAATTGATTGAGGAGTCGAATTGTATTGCTCAGTTCACTAATAAATTCTGTGTGATATAAGACCGCACTACGAGGATGTTGATTGGAGCGGGTGAGCACCGAGAGGGACTCTATTATTTCCGGAGCATTGCATCAGCAAAAGCAATGAAGATTACAGAGAGCAGGACGTGTGATATTTGGCATCAAAGGTTAGGGCATCCTTCTCATAAAATTGTTAAGTTGTTGCCTTTTGTTAGTACTAAGAATAATAACGATGACAGTATTAAGGGTTGTGATGTATGCTTCCGAGCTAAACAATGTCGAGAAGAGTTTGTTTCTAGTAATAATAATGCATCCGATATTTTTGAATTAATTCATTGTGATTTATGGGGTCCTTATAGAACTGCAACTTGTGGTGCTCATTATTTCTTGACAATAGTAGATGATTTTTCTAGAGGTGTTTGATTTATCTTCTGGTTGATAAAATGGAAGTGGGACGAGTTCTTCGAAATTTTTTTGCTATGGTTCAAAGGCAATTTGACAAACTTGTAAAAGTGACTCGTACTGATAATGAGACTGAGTTTGCTTGCTTGGCTAGATATTTTGCTGAAAATGGTATTATTCATCAAACCACTTGTGTTGGGACCTCTCAACAAAACGGTAGGGTTGAACACAAACACCGCCACATACTTAATGTTGCCCGAGCATTGCGTTTTCAAGCTAGCATGCCTATTGATTTTTTGGGGGAATGTGTATTGACCGCCTGTTATTTGATTAATCGGACACTGTCCATTCTGTTGAAGGGAAAGACTCCTTATGAAGTTTTATTTGGGCAACCTCCTTCTTATGATAATGTACGAGTTTTTGGTTGCTTGGCATATGCGCACAATCATGGATATGGAGGGGATAAATTTGTCAGTCGAAGTAGACGGTGTGTTTTTGTTGGGTATCCTTTTGGAAATAAAGGATGGAGCTTGTATGATTTAGAGTCTGACACGTTCTTTGCATCGAGAGATGTTACTTTTTTAGATGATGAATTCCCTTATGTACGCAAGGAGGATGAACAGCCAAACAAAGCATAAGGCCAATTTAATTGTGGAATAGGTGGGACAGATGTAGTGTTGATGTCGTCCACTTATTTACATAGACAAGCAAATGGCGAGATGGAGATTGACCAGCGAGGTGAATTCGCTGAAGAAGGAACCCGCGTAGAACCGAATGCAAATGCTGGTGGACCCATGCATCATTGTGATGCCACCACAGAAAATGCAGGCAAAAACGGTCCTAACGTAAGGGGGTGGCAATATTGAGCAGCAGCAGCAATCTGATTTTCATTTGGGGTGTGGGCATCGAAAAAAATAACAGTCCACAAGGTTGAGGGATTATGTGCTTCACACCGCACAGCAATTGAGTCCCTATTCGCGTTTCTTTGCAAGCTCACTCGACCAATCACATTCTGCAGGTAATCCTTATCCCATAGATAACTATGTGAACTGTAACAATTTTTCTTGTCGATATCATGCTTTCTTGGCAGCTATTACTGCAGGAGTTGAACCTACTTCTTTTGCTGAGACCGTAAAGGATGAAAAATGGAGAGATGCAATGCAGAAAGAAATACAGGCAGTTGAAAATAATCAGACATGGACTGTGGAGCCTTTGCCATCAGGAAAACGAGCCATAAGATGCAAATGGGTATATCGAATCAAGTATAATGTTGATGGGACAGTGGAAAGATACAAAGCTCATCTCGTGATTTTTGGGAACAATCAGGTTGAGGGAATTGATTCTAATGAAACTTTTGCCCCAATTGCAAAAATGGTTACTGTCCGCACCTTTCTTGCAATTGCAGCAATTAGAAATTGGGAGCTTCATCAAATGGACGTGCACAAAGCATTCTTGCATGGTGACCTTCATGAGGAAGTTTACATGCGAATGCCTCCTGGTTTTCAGTTAAATAAACTAGGTATGGTGTGTCGGTTAAGAAAATCTCTGTATGGCTTGAAACAAGTGTCGAGATGTTGGTTTGCTAAATTAGCCGCAGCCTTGAAGACATATGGATTTCAGCAATCATGTTCAGATTACTCCCTCTTCACCTTTCGTCGAGACAAGGTGCATGTGCTTGTTCTCGTGTATGTAGACGACATTGTCGTGTCAGGTAATGATCATATGGCAATT